AACAGTAAAGTATCTTGAAATGTACATACTTCTAAAATCACTATAAATTGGACATATTAATATAAAATGAAATTCATCCTCTATATCCCCGGACGTACATAATGTGCATTTTCTCTGACTTCTTTCAATACCCCTGTGTCTTCCAGATTCAATAAGTAGTTTATGGGAACTTAATCTAATTTTTGCAAGAACTGATCTGTATTTTGCATTTTCTAATAATTTAAGATAAATATATATATGTTACATTAACTAAGCTTAGAGATAATTGGGAAAAATAAGTAATCTAGAGTTATAATATGGTTCCAAACATTACACTTCCTGTCTGCATACCCTCTATCACTGTACAGTATAAAGTTTCAATCAGATACCAATTACAGATAAGTAGTCATACTTCAGTATTTTATAAATAAATAAAAATGGGTCAAAGACAGAAAAGGCCGGGTTGCATATATGTATACAAAATATCATGAGGCTGTGAATTGTTATTGAAATTTTCTACCACTGACCATTAATGTCGAAAATTTAACTAAGTCGGCAAACAGGAAGTGGATGAGCAACAGACCTGAAATGAGATCCCATGGTATGGGACCATGTGTTAATGCTGTATGCCAAATATCAAGAGGCTGTGATAAGTAGTTGCTGAGAAAACTGTTACGAAAATTTCCTACAATTGACCATAAATGTTGAAAATTTAACTAAGTCGGCAAACAGGAAGTGGATGAGCGACAGACCTGAAATCGAATCCCACATTATGGGACCACATGTTAATGCCAGGGCTCTAGCAACTGGGCTATTTGGGCGACTAAGTCGCCTCAAGTTTCATAACTTCGCCGAGTTTAAACATCAAAGCGAAAACGACTTCGCCGCGCTTTTTTTACTGACCACATGTACATATAAATATCATACAGCGCATGTTAATTAAGTTAATCCTCGCCTCCAGGCATAAATCAAACTGAATCAGTGACGCACAGTTACTGCCAATAATTGACATCAATTAACACATTTTCAAAGTGACATGATATGCAGATGCATCGGACATTATAGCCATTTAATTCGCCGATGTAAACATCACATTTTTTAAGCATAATTTTACGACACCTGCCACTATTTTATCAGCGAGTGTGAAAAGATTACACCCGGAATTGCATAGTAATTACTAGTCCAATATATTAGACGTTACAGGCTTGTTATAGTTTTTGTCGGTCAAGCCTGACGTCTAATAGTTATTGCTCAAAAACGCATAGCATCATAAAAAATTCCAAAAATGTCTATTGTCCTGCCTTGCAAGCTTTATTTAAAAGATTATCATATTTTCTTTCAATTTCATGCTCAATCATACACAAAAACTGTCAAACGATGTACTTATCAATTTAAAATAAAATATAAACATCAATCTGTTTTTGTCTATCAGCCATACTGGTTAAACAAGGTGCTTTACAGATTGATTCCAAATTTTTGAACGGAAAAATATATTCAAACACACTGACGGTGCATGGGCAATTATTTCGTTAAAAAATATTCCGTTAGATTGTTCTGACTCAGTTAAACGCTTGCATTTGAATTAGCCAATCAGATTTCGCGCACTTTACGGCCGCCATTTGTTTATCGGCTGTAAAAGGAATTGAAATACATGAGAGGATTTAATCATGATTTTTCGGATGTGACAGTTTAATTATTTTTACAAAAGGTATTTATTTTTTAGTTTTGTTCATAAATAGGTCAAAAAATATGTCAATACACGCTGTCTTCATTGTTTTTCGTTCCGCCCGATTTTCTGGCGGAACCACAGGGGGCCCACACAGTGTTTGGATGGTATATACTGCTTGATAGTGACCTTAAAATGAGATTTTAGTCATAACCTTATAATATGTATATAAATATAGACTACTGTCATAAACAGTAGTAAACTTTGTCTTCAAAAAGTTGAATAAACGTCGGTAAATTATGCGGTAAACTACAAATTTGAAAATTTTGTTTTACAATGCCTGTTGCAATAGCGGATGAATAACAATCTAAAAATAATCATTGGATATTTAATTTAATATAATCAAAATCAACAACAACTAGAATTGTAAGTGTTTCTGCAGGAAACAGACAAATTTTCATTTGTCACATATTTTCGCGATGCCGATTTCTACGATGAAAAAATAAAGTTACCAAAAGGAAAATTTGTTTTGTTAAAATGTGTCCACTAGCACTTAAAATGTACTTTATTAATGAAAATTCCTTAAGGTATTGTTTACATTAATTTTGATTGAGAATTTTGCCAGTATGTGTTGTACAATGAATATAGGGAGGGGGTGTGTGGAGTTAATCAGGAAGAAATCATTATTATGGTCTGATGATAGAGGGTTTTAGAATTTATACTTCAAATATCACTATCAATAAATAGGTAAAACTCCTTTTTATAGATCAAATCAATGTGCTATAAGCACTTTTTCACTTCTCCTTATGTCGTCAAACTTCTCCCTGATAGGAGCTGAGGGAGAAGTCACTTCTCCCTAAAATTTTAGTCTAGCTAGAGCCCTGAATGCTGTATGCCGCCCAACATTCACCATACTATAACCCGGGTTTGCACCTGTGCAACCCGGCCAAAAACCAAAGTAAGTTACAGAAATGCTTCCTGACCAAGTCATCTCTAGCACTGTGTGAAATTTTAATGAACTACAATAATGCATAGTCTGTTCCCTACCAAAATAAATAGAAGCAGTGTTCAGGTGTTTCATATACTGAATAGCACTTTTAAAACAGAAAATGTAAAATAAAAATGAATATTTAGTTTAACCAACTTCCCTGTTTATAGGCTTTGCCTAATTTCCTATTACCAGAACTTTCTGTCCTATTATGGTTCCCATGTTGTCTGATGGGTGGATTCAATTTACATACAAATACATGTATCATATAAAATATAAAATGGACATATATAGTGTGTGGTTGTGATGAGTCAGTGTTTTTTTCCCATACTTTGGGAATGGTGCCGGTACCGGACAGATTGGGGAAAAAATCCATTGGTTTGACTCAAATTGGGAATTTTACATAAGATGCAAAATATTCTTTGGGAATTTCTTTTATCCAGGACGACATGAACATTATGCATAATAAACACTTTAAAACCATGTATTATAAACTTATTATTTTTGATTATTTATTTATGATTATTTTTGCTTAAGGTGTGAAACACTAAAAGTAGAACAAAATATCACTCATACATGCGGTTTTACCTGGTTTTTATCGCATAAAAAAAGTTTCACTCATCAATGGCATTTCTGTTTTTGTTTACCTTTAAATTTGCCGATTTTTGAGGTAGTTTTCAGTGTTATTTTGGGAAATTATCATGATGTCATGTCATGAATTGGGAAATTTGTTGTTTATTTTCTATTGGGAATGGTGCCGTTTTTCGGTATCAGTTATAAAAGGAAAAAAAAAAACACTGGAAAAGTGGTTGAGTAAATGTAGTCCTAATTGTATCGATAACATTAAATGTGTAACCGCTGATGGGTTTAAATTATCATCATTAATCAGGGCTCACACTGGCTCAAATAAAATAATAGCCAATAATTTTAACTTAAAAAAATAATAGCCAAAAGTTCAGCGGACTATTCACGAATTAGCGATTAACAACATAAGCAGTTGATTAAATAAACAGTACATTTATATCTTTCAGTTTTATAAGGATTCTCAAATGAACTGATACATTTGTGCATATTGATAACTACCTTTTTTTTAATAGAACCACAACTTTAATTGTTATTATAGAACAGAATAAAAACGTTATAATTAGTATAATTACTGTATAACAATAATATTAAAGATTTATTATAACTTTACATAATGCTGTCATCAGACAACTTTTTTTGTTTGTTCTAATCAAATTTTGTCAGCTATAACCACTGTCAATTTCCACATTTCACACAGAACTGGAGTAGATCTAGGTCATATTAGCCTATAGAAATAACACAAGTTTGCAAACTCATTCAATTAACTGAAAAATATCATCATCACCAATGTAATACAAATTTACTGCCATAGGAGTAAAGATTTTTAAACAGAACTTAGCTTATTTCACCTTTAAATAAATATCAAAATTATCGGTGTCGCGAAAATATGTGACAATCGGATTTTTCCTGTTTTCTAAAGAAATATTCACAATTTTGGTTGTTGTGCAAATAGTTGTTTGGAATTTAATACTTTTCAAATATTTTACCATTGTTTTCCACTGGCGATTTAGTCAAGTAGCTTAAAACAAAAAAAAAATCAAAATTTGCAATTACTGGAATTCACGGTAAATTTTGGGTAAGTCAATATCCAGTTTATCAATTTTAAAACGATTTTTGTGGCTAATTGACGGATATTTGATGGCTATTATAAATGCTGGACAATATCTTTAAAGTACTTATACAATTATACATCTCGCATGTATTTTATCACCTCGGGCAATATAGTTAGCAGCACGTGACCGGTAAAAAGTTGACACTCAATTAAATGCACCCCGCTGGTGTTAATTGGGTCTTCTGCATTCATTATCGATTTTTACACCTTATATAAACACTGTTGGAAGTAAAAAATAATCGCCAGATTTTGTAGCCAAAATGCAAAAATAATCGCCAATCTTATAAAATAATCGCAAATGGCGACTATGGCGACCGACAGCGTGAGCCCTGTTAATGTACGATAATTTCTGTCAAAGAGCTCGCTTTGAGGGTTTGCCTAATTCATATTATTTTCCTGGACTGCTGGAGAGAATAATTTTGCCATTTCATTTGTTTACATGAATTTTTGTCAGTTGATGATCGAATTAGATTAAGCTTTGATTACTCTAACAAATGTATTATGAACATGAATATTATTGTGTACAAAAGAAGATATATACAAAAGTTGGTCAGATAAAAACAGAGGTAAGTGGCCTTGACACCGATAAATACATCACTTCCAGACTCTGTATCTACGACATTCTAAAATGTTTACCATGCAAATATTTTAAAAATGGAGAATATAATTACCTGATATAACAAGGGCTTCATTTGGGCCTACGGTGTGAATGTTTCCCATCCTGATTCTGCAAATTTATTCGTATTTCGAAATAAAATTTACGATTACAAAATTCAAGATGGTGGTCGGAACTTTCGGCTTTTAACTCTTAACTACCAAAAAGTGGAATAAACAACCAAAAAGTCTCCTCACAGGGAAGTCTTGGAGTAGTCTTGGGGTAGTCTTGAGGTGTCTTGGGGTAATAATACCGATCGGATTTATACTAGTAAAATTCCATATCTAAGCGATCAGTATCTTTCTCATATTTCCCGCCAATACCACAGTCCAAACAAGCATAAGTATGAATAAAAGAAAATACATGATATTTTTTTTATTTAGAAACAATCTTAAATTTTATTAACAAGGGTTAAAAGTGTAATTATTTATAGTACAGTTTTTATTTGTTGTTTTTATCCGCATTGTAGAATAAAATAGAATAACTTTTATTTCCAATCAAGGGTCATGTTAAATGCCATGTGAATCATTGTGTTCTTTTTACATCCATATATTCATTAATCCTATTTTCCTTAGGGATTATTTGTTCCATTTTACCTCCCTGCTTGAACGTGTAGTTTGTATTAGGTTTATTTTGACGGGGCTTTTTTCTGGTCCTTCGGGATCATTGATGCCAGCACTATTTAGTGTTGAGAATTGAGTACCGCTCAAGCCGGTGCTAGTGGGCGTGAGGGATGTTGCACTTATTCATTATCTCTCATGTACAGACTCAATCAAACCGAGTCTGCAATTCTTATGTAATTTTGTTGTGATTAATGCTTCCGATGGATCACTTTGTTTCCAGAATTTTGTACTTCACAACAGCAGGTGTCAAGTGCCGTGTGGCAGCTGTAAAAAGTTGCCCCGTACTTCACTTCAGTGTTGTTATATTTTCTGGTCCTTCGGGATCATTGATGCCAGCACTATTAAGTGTTGAGAATTGAGTACCGCTCAAGTCGGTGCTAGGGCGCGTGAGGGATGTTGAACTTATTCGTTATCTCTCATGTACAGACTCAATCAAACCGAGTCTGCAATTATTATGTAATTTTGTTGTGATTAATGCTTCCGATGGATCACTTTGTTTCCAGAATTTTTCTAATTGAACAGCCACAGTCAAGATTATTTAAAAATTATTCTGTAGAAGTTCCTATCATTTGGATTCAAAAAGAAATTATTGATGAAAGAAAAACTGCCAAATTGTTGAATTTCTGGAAAAGTTTTCCTTTAGTTTGTTCTGTTCACCGTTCAGTTTATCTATATTTCTGTATAGTATTATGTATGGAGGTCAAAATATCTCGTCGTTTACGTTTTGCTTCCTTTATCTCTCAAACGTAATTTTTACAATTTATTTCACCTCCGCAAAATAGGAAGACTTTAATTAATTAAAGCCAGATATATAGATGATAATTAACAAGAAAAAAACTTTGAACAGCGGCAGTCGGTCGGATGCTTCATTATTAACTTTTTCAAATCTATATTTTTATTTATTAAAAACGTTTTATAGTCAGCTGCCTGCCATACACGGACGTAGCGCTTTAGAATACATATACACTCCCTGATAAATGATTTTTTTTTATTTCATCTTTTCCGTTCCATAATTCCTAATGGTGATTTCTATACTTTGGGGTAAAATAAATATCGCGAAAACACGCGAGATTCAGTGACGCAAAGCAGCGAGAGAGTTCATCGATAAAATTTATTTTACGTTAGGTAATTTATAAGTAGTTTGAGTTCATTTTCTATTTTTGAACTTAACCAAATTACCATATATTCAGTCGATTTTCTCAAACATATCACGATTACTTTTCAGAGTATCAGATTTAATGGAAAACATAGTAATCGCTTGTTGTTGTTCACCAAGATTTCGTTGTTGTTGTTGTTGTTGAAACTTGTAAATCTCTGAAATTTTTTTAGAAGGTTGTTTGGCCTGCAAGTCACATTATAATTTCACTGACTATATTAGTTCAAAAGTTATTGTATTATAGTGTCTATATCCTGAAAGAGACCTCTGTGTTACTTCCCCAAATTTGAAATATGGAGTCAGTTCTTCCCTACTGGCATGCGAGCAGTTCCCGTACAGAAGCAGGAATGACAGACTATTCTCTCCCTTACCAGTTCCTTCCCCCTGACGGTTCTCTCCCAAACCTTTTCCTCCCCTGACGGTTCTCTCCCAAACTTGAAATAAGCAGACAGTTCTCCCCCAATTTTATTTTAATAAGTTAACATTTTAGTTTTGACTTAATCTAATAACATTTCTTAATAAAGATTATGTAAAGAATGTGTTTGATGTTAAGTGCATTTTATGTTTCATGTTTATCTGAAAAGTGTTTGTAAATTTAACACCTTTTTTAGGTATTTTAATCCTATCAACACCTTCATTGTGAGAGAGTAAGATAACTGGACAGTGATTGATATACAGTACTGGCCACGCGAAACCCGCAAAAGTCGCGTTATGCCGCGAGTGTAGTCTATGTCGTGACGGGACACTTCGCGGTAAAACATCGCCGCGTGCAAGTTCGCCGAATTTCGTGGCGGGTCACGAAAAATCGCCGCGATGAATCGCCGTAATTTACGGCGAATCTTCAGCAATAATTGTAATAGAAAGTACTACTTGGTCCTTAATTCCCGTGGTCTTTAATTTTGAAAACTTTAAAAAAATCTTGTAAACGTCTTGTATATTTATAAATATTTAGCATTTGAACATGTACAGCGTATACATTTTGTATATTAAAACAAAGCAATCAGGTGCTGGTGAAAATTAGTTAACAATAAAACGAGATAGAAATTACAAAAGGTAATTGGTACTACATCAAAGAACGCACGATAACAAATTGTCCAATTGTTATTTTGATAATAATACAAATGTAATTAAAATCCATTGTTTACTTTCGCACATATTCTATTTTTAGAACAATGCAAAGCGACATTTAGCACCGATTCACAGATGTAACTAATTATTACGTCTAATACGCTAATTATGATTGTTGAAAATAATAAAAGTTTTATCACTTAAATTGACATTCTTTACCTTCAATTTCACGAGTAAAAAATGCCAGGTGCATGAGTAGGTGATGCAAATCAGATTTTTTTTATTCCCGCCAAATCAGCCAGGGCATTTGACCCAAAAAATTCCCTCGAAAACAAAAATAAAATCGGAGTTAAATCACACATTTAATATGTAAAGTAACGAGTGATCATTCATGAGGGCATTCTGTGCATAAAATTAGGGTGTTACTATTTAAAGTATTTACATAAATAGCGACCAACCAGGGAAGGATATTTTCCTTACGTCACGCAGTACTGCATGCGCGCGGCAATTAAGTTGAATTAACTAATAATAGCACGTATCAAATTAAGGTGTGGAAACGGGATTAAAAATTTTTTTTTCAAATTAATGAATATTTGTAAAGCATTTATATGGTCACTAGTTTACCATGTGGTAATTTTAATGTGCTTTGGGGTACATGTTCGTTTGTTTATGACTGACGACACTGATTAAATACTATAAGCCCATGCAATAAAACATTTCTGGTAGAAGCGTGGTCATAAAATTGACCGAAAAAAATATCCTTTCATATGCATTATTGTTTTGATAGCAGACACAAGTATTGCACAATATCTTCAAGATCATTAAAATGTAAATAAAATATCACAATCAAAATGCACTTACGATTAATAATATGTCAATAATTGACACAATCAATATCCAACATTTTTTTTACTTGAGCAATAATTAAACATGTGTAATCATTCCTTGACAAAAAGAAATGACAGTTTTTTTCTGATATATAAAAAAGAGGTGAAAGTCAATCGAGTGTCGGCATTTCTTTGATGATTCGGCAACAACTACAGGTGTGTAAACATCAAAGATTCACAGATTCTTCAGAAGAGCCGACCAGTCATTTGTCAGAGGTCATTTCGTGTGTAAATTTTGTATTCATTATTTAACAATGGAAACATTATATTCCTTTTATTTATGGATGCTTCTTTTTGCGCGAGTGTTTTTGTGTCTTTTAGCGCTATGGAATTTCAACAATCGGCGATAATTTTCGGTAACTAACAATTAAATATTTTAACATTTTTAAAACAGGGGTGCAAATATCCGCCATTCAGAAATTATAGCAGACAAATCTTGCGTGTGTTATTTTTTACAAACGTGTAATAAATTGAGTAATGATCACCCGAGAGAACGAAATGTCCCGGTGATCCACTACATTTAGAAATGAACAAGTTAATGTCGTATCAATTATGCATCTTTTTATGTAACTAAATATCTTTTTACACATATATTATATTTATATCTCTACTTTAAACTCAATATGTACCCCCCCCCCTAAAAATAGTTTTACACGTGTACATGCACACTATTTACCTGCAGATGGAGCCGCATACTTGTACTGCGTCGCATTTATACATTGAGGTCATGATTCCGCCATTCACGGAAAGTTTTTAACGGTGTTATTTGATTTCGCCGTGGTTATTTATATTTGCTGTTGGCATCAAAGATAAATAGAGAAAGGGCATTTTAGCAAATTACAAGATTTTCTTGATACAACTTCATGTAGATCTACTAATTAATTTTCGTACTTGTACATGTATATCTGGTTTCAAGTTCACAGACTACACTTATAAATAGATCTACATTTATTATATAAATGAACATGTATTATTCCCCGCGAATCGCGGCAAATGTTCACGGCAAAATCGCCGCGAGTTGAATTCGCGGCGATTGTCTCAAGTTGCCGCGAATTCGCTCGCGTTATAAAGCATGAGAGTTCGCCGCGAATACGCGAATTGTGCGGGTTTCGCGTGTCCAGTACTGTACACCTGTAATTATGTTAAGGTCAAGTGATATTTAATTATTTGTTAAATAGCAAATAACATGGTAACAAGTATGCTATAGAAAATAAATAAGCAACAACTGGTATGCACTCACATTTCACATTTACTCTTATACAAAATTGATTAAAGGAAATCTAGACATTCACTTGAAACAATAAGTAAGTAAGTAAATAAATATTTTATTAATGTGCAGGCTTCGTGAAAGTTGTCGGACATGTCCGACAAAAATTAGGCCGGTCCGATATTTTTTTCCGAGTTCCGGACCTTATGTCCGGTACGAATACCGGGATATATCCAAGACCAATCAAGACCGAGTTTTCTCCCTTGAATAAAAAAATGTAAAACGAGTTTTGATTCGCCGTTTCATTTTTAGTGTCCAATCTAATTCTAGATAATACAACTTTCAATGATCTTGTACTCGGAAGTAAATGTCGGTGTTACTGCATTATAAAATTATTACAAAAACGTAAATTATCTAATGAAGGAAAAAAGCGAAACAAAAGAAATACGAGTCCAGGCGCCTGCCGAGAAAATTTGTGGGTAAATGGAAAAAATGGCCGCTCGTGGTTGGTTTTTAAAGAGGAAGAAAATAAGATGAAATGTACATTGTGTCATAAATTTTATAAAGATCATATGATGATGATGATTTTGATCATGAATGTTTAAATTTACAGACAGCTAGAGTCCATCAATCTGGATAAACTGATGTTTTATTTAAGAGAATAAAATTGTGTTGCAAATCTTTAAAAGTTCCTATGTTTAAAAAAACACAAAGGTATTACCATATACATATACAGTGTTCAATCTAGAGCGCGCCATTGCGCCATTGACCCCTTGAAAAGGCCGCCGGCGCAAAACAAAATCAACTGTGGGCCCGACGGGCGCACTCATAGAAAATGCCCTAAATGACATTAGAATGCTTTCTTAAACCTGATTAAGTACATAAAAGAAGTTTCTTGTGAATAATATTAATAAATACTGAATTCAAAACTGGAGTTTGTATTGAAAAACGAGCATGTTGGCAAGATAGTTTACCGCACTCGGTAACCCATTTAAAACCTTTATCGCTACGCTCTCTCGGTACGCGTCTGTAAATACTATGTAGACTTGTTCTTCGTACCGTAACTATTACTTACTTTTGAGTCACAGTTTTTTTAAGCAAAACAAATTGTCACAGATAATCCAATACGTGCGTGTAGTTATAGTTTTTTCACGGTCAAAACAAATAAATATGTAATAACTTTCCAAAGGAAAAAAATATATATATATTTGTGAAAAGTGCGAGTTAATTATAGAGAAGTGTGCATAAATTATTACGAACACGCCTTCATCCAATTAAAAAAGTCTTAAAGATGGAGCAATCAAACACGATTGGCTAGGGAGTGTCTGACAATTAAGTAAATTAACTTTGATTGGTCTTTGGCTGGTCGGCGCTAAAACATTGTGCATATCATTAATCAATACAGACATCTTAAGCGTGACGTAAGAACTGCTGCCCTGACTAAAGATCAAAGGTACCGGTATGTCAATATACATTGTCTTAGCACCTGTTGACACTTTGTTTTTCGCTTGGATATATTGAGAAGGGTAAATGTTTTTAGCGACTATTGTAAGTTTATATTCTTCATAAACAAAGCTGATTTCAAAATATGATTTTCCTTTATATCGGGCGCTGATTAAAAAACTGAACATTATTATCAAATATCCCTGGTAACATTAAAATAAGATTCATATTTTTCTTTGAACATTATGTCATCGCATTTCTTTACCAATCAGTTCTTAAAATTGAGCCTGTATCAACGCTAATGTCATTTTTTTTAGTTGAGTTGTTTTGGAATTTTGCAACCGTTTTTGGTCTAAATATGGTACGTGAACAAGTAACTTTAAAGATACAATACCTTATTTGAATTTGATGTTCATTTTAAGTGTGGGCCCCCTTTTTTCTCAAATGACCCCCTTTTGAAAAGTTTATGGGCCCAAAGGGCCCCCTGGGAATTTGTTCTAGATTGAACATTGAACACTGCATATATTTGGAAAAAAAATTCGGTCAGACAAAATTCTTTCGGTCAGACAAGAATTGAAAGTTTGTCTGACCGAATGTCAGGCAAATGTTTCAGCACTTTCGCGAAGCCTGAATGTGTCATATGTAAACATACAAGCAATGAACAAACAAGACATGTATAAACAATAGTATACACCCGGCCCAATGGGCCTATAAGACACAAATAACATAAAGACAATAAATCTGAAAATACGTGAACAACATAAAAGGTATGTTTTGATATAAAAAAATAAATAGGGAGAGAACAGTCAGGGAGGAAACGTCAGGGGAGGAACTGGTAAGGGAGAGAATAGTCTGTGCAATTTGTTTGTGATTTGTTAGATTACTCATTTCTGAATGTGTGATAATCATACATAGAAACACGGATTTATATTACAATCCGTGAATATATAATATAAATCCGTGATAGAAATAAGTAAAACGTTTGCATTTATATTAATTGCTCTTATGTGATTTTTAAAAAGTAATATTAAAGTTATAATTCGGTCTTATTTAATGATTGTTATGCTCTATATTATTTTTATTTTATATAAATTATATATATGGTACGTATCCTCCAAAATATATAAGTGGTACGTAACCTCCAAAAATGTTTTGTAACCTCCTGGTACGTATCCTCCGTGGTACGTAACCTCAAGTAATCACAGAAACAAAACCTGTTTGTAGAATATCCAGTCCAAACCAGTACAAACATTGAAACAGCCACAGGTTTATACTGATGTTGCAACTCTCTCACTATAACATGGTGTTGTATAGGCGGTAGTCAGACTATTTACTCCCTTACCAGTTCCTTCCCTGTGTTACATGTAGCTAAAAAATTATTGGACCTAGGGTCATGAAACTTTACAAAAATGTTGATCAGCATGTGTAGTTGTGCACCTGGGCATTTTGTGTGGATTTATTTAGTATTTGTAGAGTTATTGTCCTTGACTTTGAACAGTAAAAATTTGCAACTTTCAACTTATGTGACATGTAGCTCAAAAGTATTTGACCTAAGGTCATGAAACTTTACAGGCATGTTTATCAGCATGTGAAGTTGTGCACCTGGGGTTTCGCTTGTGAATTTATGTGTTTTGTCAGAGTTATTATCCTTGACTTAGTGAAAACTTTTTGTCGTACGTAACTCAAAATGTTTTTAACCTAGAGTCATGAAACATAACAGGAATGTTGATCAGTATGTATAGTTGTGCACCTTGAGTTTCTCTTGTGGTTTTATTCAGTATTTGTAGAGTTATTGCCCTTGACTTATTAAAAAACGTTTCATTATGTTGTGTTATTTGTTCTTTGAGTGCTTGAGTAAGAATCAACCAACTTGTTCATGCATAGCTCAAAAAGTATTTGACCTGTAGGCCTGAAAGTTTACAAGAATGTTGGTCAGCATGTGTACTTATGCACCTTATGGTGTGCTTGTGGATTTATTCAGTATTTGTAAAGTTCTCGTCCTTTACGTAGTAAAAGATTTTTAGTTTTCAACTTGTGAAACATGTTTGTAATCCAACAAATATTTGACCTAGAGTCAAGATTGACTAAACAGTTGAGTGTTGGGGCACACATATCCTATGGACACATTTCCAGTTTGTCCTAGAAATGTAATACAATTAATTTGTTTTGTATTCCAGTTACAATAAGATGACAGACGTCAGTGACTTAGACAGGTAAGTGTCTGTTTCATGTATTATAACTACATCTCAATTAGCTTAAATTATATTGACATAGAAAAAATTCTTTATTATAATAAGATCATAGAAAGTTTAGATTTCAACAAATCAGTGTTGCATCTAGAATTTCAAAATTATTGTGGATTGTTCCGCACTCAACAAAAAATGTGGGGGATTTGAAAAAAATGTGGGGGACATGCATTTACGTAACAATATGAGGTATCGAAAAGAATTCATTTATTTTACGTTCAGGCAATTTTGACAGCTTTCGTCTGCCCCACAACAGAAATAGAAAAAATCAAATTTTGACGAATGCTTCTTGTAAAGTGCGATGATCAAACCATCAATACACACGCTAGATGCCCAGTCAGCTGCTACGGGCTATTTAGTATGCATTTTAGTCATTACCACAAGTGAAAACAAACATGGCACATCTGTTCAAGATACGATGAAGATTACCTGAATTAAGTTTAAAAGTTTGTTAGATGCGCGACTTGGTGCACATTGACTTCATTAAAATGCGCGATCTGCAAAAAAAATGCGCAAATTGCGCTAGATGCAACACTGCAACAAACTGATATTTTATAACCTTGATGAAGACTCATGAGATTCAAAACATCGGTTATCATCATTAAATAAAACCTTAAAGCCTGTTCTGTGTTGATTGTTTGTTCCACTTTTATTAATTTTCTAAGTATACAGAATATATATACTGCAAATGGAAAGTTTGCTGCCCATGATGATGGTTATCATATTCATTATTGCAAAGGTAAAATTACACAACAATGAACATTACAAGACTGTGAATCAAAATGTTGACGATACAAAGGCTATTTATTTGTTTGGTTTTGAACAAAAATTGAGTCTAATTCAAAACTGATATAATCATATATGATTAAGTCATTATCTTATTTTGTCTTGCAGACAAATTGAGCAGCTTCGCCAGTGTAAAATAATCAAAGAAAGTGAAGTGAAGTCACTATGTGCAAAGGCACGTGAAATACTTGTAGAGGAGAGCAATGTACAAAGAGTTGATTCACCAGTCACAGTAAGTGTGTTTTGTATCTATTCAAATTGTCAGTTTTCTCAGTTATACGACAAACTTTCTTGTGTATATCAAGTGCTAGCTGCCATGAGATAACCTATTTTAGTACATTGGTCCTTGGGGCTTAATAGCTTGAAACAGTAGAACAAAAACCACTAGGCTTGGACCAAGAAAATTTTGTTGATTTCAATATACAGAATACGCGATTTAACCCCAGCCTGCAAGACAAGGGCTTAATAAAGTGTGAGTGCTTCTGCAGATGTTGGTGCATAAATAAAGGGTTATTAGCTTTATTCTTGTATTAAAGTATACATCTGATTTGGTAATTTCACATTTTGTTATTTGCTTAACATATATGAAGATACTGGTTCTCGTTTCAATATGCAAGTACTATGTTGTTTGACAGTTACATTTTGATTATGAAATTACTAAGCCATTATATTGGTCAGTTTTTACATGAACATGTCACCTTGAGATAACCAGCACAATGGTACTTCTGCAAACAAGGCTTGAAGTGGGTAGAATGTAAACTTGTGTCAACTTGTTCCCTGGCCAGTCTGTCCGCACTTATAATCTTCTAAATGCTTCCTACACTACAAGATGTATTTCCTGAAACTTAATCGGTAAACTATTTGTAATAGCATGTTGCCTTGCTATGCATCCTTCAAACATTTAATTCACTTTGTTATAAAAGTTTACCATTTCTGTTAATCAGTCACATTTATTACTCTAAAAGTTCTATTTATATTTGAATTCTATTTCAGGTATGTGGAGATATACATGGCCAGTTTTATGACTTGAAGGAGTTGTTCAAAGTAGGTGGAGATGTGCCGGACACTAACTACCTATTTATGGGCGACTTTGTTGACAGAGGATTTTACAGTGTAGAAACTTTTCTACTTTTATTAGCTTTAAAAGTAAGTACTAAATCTTCCTAAGACTTAAGTCAGTATATTATAAATTAAGGTGAAAGTCCAATATTGAGATATGATGCTACCATTAGCAACTATATGCTTACAATTGTATGACACAAATCATAAAGAAAAATTTATTTTCTTATTTTGGTTTCTTATATATGATATATGTCACAGTATAGAACTTTTCAGTATTTGAGAGAAAATTTGTAAGTGGCCAAGCAACTCGGTAAAGCTTAAGATTGGTATTCAAAGGAACTCTTTGAAATGGCAGCACGGCCGAGTGGTTATGGTCTTTCATGATATTGAATGAGAGATCATCTATTTAATAAAAAAAGTCTATTATCTGATTAGCTGATCAATTTTTGTAGATCTGTATTAGTAATTTGTTAACATTTCAGCTGCTGAATTTCTGTAAATTAATGGTCTGTCTTATTAAAGTTGGTCAGTCATGAGTATAGAATTTGATCAGACTGAACAGACTAATCAATTTCAGTTTCAAATAAGGGTTAAAATTTATTGTTATAAATTATATTGAAATTACTCCTATTTGATTCTTCCAAATAAAAACGTTTTCATTCAATATAATTATACAGACAGGAAACTGGTGATTCAAACAAATACATTTGAATTTCTCTAAGCAGTAAAGCCACTTAACAGCATAATTTTAGAGCAAAGGACTTCAGTTGCTAACGTTTGGCCATTTTCCCCCTAAAAATTTTATATACATGATTGTATTTATATATATATTGTAAAGAAAATATTTTGGAAAAACAGAAAGACAAAAAGTGTTTTGATATTATTTAAAAAAGGAGGTTGTTTAACTTTGGGAGACCTGAAATGAAGCGATATTTTTACCTCGGGGGTGGTTTGTAAAGTTTTTATTCATTTCATAAAGTTTTGCTTTTTGTTTATTATAGGTCAGATATCCAGACAGAATTACGTTGATACGAGGGAATCACGAGAGTAGGCAGATAACACAAGTATACGGTTTTTATGATGAATGTTTAAGGAAATATGGGTCAGTAACTGTATGGAGATACTGTACAGAAATATTCGACTACCTTAGTTTGTCAGCCATTATAGATGGAAAGGTAAAGAATTTATGTAACTTTAAAACTAAATTTATTCACTGTGTGCATCATTCATTAAGTCCCTGATTCAAGCGTGAGGTTTATAAATAGGAATCATTATGTAACAGTAGTACAAGAGACAAGAATCAGATGGCACGTCATTACCATCTATCATGGCCTGCACTGTTTGCTTTTCAGTCTTTAAATTTTCTTTTAAAATCATAAATGGCTTCGTCCAGATTGAAAGCTCATTTCAGATACTAGTAAAACTACTAAGTATTTATCATGGTAAGGGTAAAAAATCTCATTGGCATATTATTATAGTGTAGAATAACTTTAAAGCCTAGCTTGAAAGCATGCAATTCTTATGTTATTGTAGATATTTTGTGTACATGGAGGTTTATCACCATCAATACAGACCTTGGACCAAATACGATCTATAGACAGAAAACAAGAAGTTCCACACGACGGTCCAATGTGTGACCTTCTCTGGTCAGACCCTGAAGGTATGTCAAAAACTAACTGACTTGTATAAAGAAATCAAACATTTAAATACATAAAATATTTCTTTTGTAATTATTAATTTTTACGACAGGTTGTCTTGTTTTATCAAAAAAAAATTGAATGTTCATCAGTTTAAAATTTATGTTTTGAATATGCACATCCTGGTTTGAGGCACATAAGTGTATTTTTAAAGAAATTAGCAAATTTGAAATCCAGAGTTTTGACATCGAAATATATGTTAATAAATATTTGTTAGTAATATTTTGATATATATGCTTTAGAAGTGGCCCTGTTCTTAAAATACAAGTTTTTGTTTTAGATATGCAGGGTTGGGGTGTAAGTCCACGTGGTGCAGGATATTTGTTTGGTAGTGATGTTGTCTCCCAGTTTAACACAGCTAACAATATAGACTTGATATGTCGAGCACATCAACTTGTTATGGAAGGCTACAAGTGGCATTTTAATGAAACAGTCCTAACAGTATGGTCAGCCCCAAATTATTGCTACAGGTGAGATGTTTATTCTCTTTTATCATCATTAGTCTTCCCATATCCACTTGTTAGACAGTGCTTGGTCTGTGGACCTTTGTTTTGTGCTAACATGATAGTAAAAGTATATGTATTAATGTGATGATTTAATTGAAAATGAGTCTCTGATAAATAATTGATATTTTTGAGATAGCATTTTCTATGATTTGTAATTGATACTTGTAGAAATTTGTAGTTTGCTTTCTTATTATATATAACCAAATTACTGTTTCAAACTGGCTGTACCTTGCTGGTAGTCACAAAAAAATGACTTCTTTACAAGAATGTAATTATATTAAACCATATCATAATCTAAAAGTTTGATTTCTTTGAGAAAAGAAGCTATCAAGCAAAAAAAAAAAAATTTATAAAAGACTGATGGTTTTCCCTCTTCATGGTTTGAATTCTATGATATTATTTATCTTTTGTTTTGATTATTTGACCGATTCTATTGTAGGATCTAATTTTATTAGAGATGTTGAATAATTTGATACTGTTCAGATTAAACATATATTGAGAGAATAACATGCCTTCATTTTAATTTGTACAAAACATAATATTTGTTCGTTTTAGTAAAAATTTTGTCAAGTCTTCAAAATCAGTGATTTAACAAAGCCTAGGGCACTTACTATCATAAATGCAGACATTTCTCTTACTTTGTTAGTTATTGGATAGAATTTTGGTGATTAAAATAGAAATAAGAAATTGTAAAATTTTTCAGAATATACATTTCTTATATTTATCTTATGTTTGATGGTTTGAAGATTTATTTTACTCATCTAGATGCATGCTGCTTTAAGTCAAGCACATAGATATCTTAAAACTTACATTAAACTTATATTTTGATTGTAACATTACAGATGTGGTAATGTAGCGGCTATATTAGAACTAGATGAACATTTACAGAGAGATTTTACTATATTTGAAGCTGCCCCACAGGTATACTTTATTAAGTAAACAAATTTTGATAGGAATTAATTTCTGTTTTTATGCCCCTGCCATATAATGGCAAGGGCATATAGTGTTACCCTGTTCCGTCATTCCGTCCTTCCGTCATCATCAGTTTCCGTTCATAATCTTAATAACCGTTGCACATATTGAACTCAAATTTGACATATAGATATGTCATGAGAAAATACAGGTCAAGTTCGAAATTGGTCATGGTTCGATGATTTTTGGCAGAGTTATGCCCCTTTTACTTTGAAAATAATATGAAATTTTCAGTTTCCGTTCATTATCTCCCCAACGGTACAACACATTCAACTCAAACTTGACATATGGATATGTCATGAGAAAATACAGGTCAAGTTCAAATTTGGTCATGGTTTGATGATTTTTGGCAGAGTTATGCCCCTTTCACTTTGAAAATAATATGAAATTTTCAGTTTCCGTTCATTATCTCCCCAATGGTACAACACATTCAACTCAAACTTGACATATGGATATGTCATGAGAAAATACAGGTCAAGGTCGAATTTGGTCATGGTTCGATGATTTATGGCAGAGTTATGCCCCTTTTACTTTGAAAATAATATGAAATTTCCGTTTATTATCTCCCCAACAGTATTACACATTCAACTCAAATTTGACATATGGATATGTCAAAGGAATGCGCAGGTCAAGTTCAAATTTGGTCATGGTTCGATGATTTTTGGCAGAGTTATGCACCTTTCACTTTAAAAAAATATGAAATTTTCAGTTTCCGTTAATTATCTCCCCAACAGTATTACACATTCAACTCAAATTTGACATATGGATATATTTTTGGAATGCCCTGGCCAAGTTCGAATTTGGTCATGGTTCAATGATTTTTGGCAGAGTAATGCCCCTTTCACTTTGAAAATGATATGAAATTTACAGTTTCTGTTCATTATCAACCCAACAGTGTTACATATTCAACTCAAAATTGACATATGGATATGTCAAAGGAATGCGCATGTGAAGTTGGAATTTGGTCATGGTTCGATGATTTTTTGGCAGAGTTATGTCCCTTTCACTTTGAAAATAATATAGATACATCTTAGGAATAAGCAGTTTAAGTTGGAATTTGGTCGTTGTTCAATGATTTTGGACAAACTTATCTTTCCTGAATGTTGGAAAAATTTTGAACTTTCAGTTTCAGAACTCATACTTTTGTGGAAATGTATATAGCCATTATTTTGGCTACAAAATTGCAATATGCTATTTTCAAAAGGTTAAGACTGAATAATTTCAGTGCCTTGAACATTGTATAAAAATGGTTTGTTTTAACATTGAAAAGTTTTAAGGGCTTTGAACATAGAATGAAAAAAATAATTTGTGCAAACAAATTTGGAACTAAATATTATAACATTTGAAATTTTGGCTGCATGCGGGGGCATCCGTGGCATGTGACACATTTCTAGTTGTAACAAATATTATTCAGAGAAACAATTTTATTAAAGGTACTCCACTGAGGTACGGCCGAATGTCACAAAAAAAAGTAAAATTTCACGAACCGATATTTTTTTGTTACCTGCGAGTTAGGGACATTCAAACAGAATCAGTGCTACATTGATATGTGTTTTTTGGATTGGCAAGTCGTTTGAAATACATATTTTCTCCAATTTTGTGGGAAAAGCGTTTAAACACCTTTCAGTTTGCAAATCTGAATAAAAACAACGGTCACGTGATGATTCTCGGATGACTAAAAAAGCGAAACGGAGAATTTTTTGTGTATCGGCAGCAACGAAAGTGCGAAACCGGAATATACCAACAATCCATAAATTTAAAAGCAAATAA